CGTTATATAGTAATAGGTACTATGAATTGACATAAAACCTTCATGGTGGGAGTTTTTTCACATGATACGTAAGAGGTCTTTAAAAAAAATATGAAAAATTCGATTTTAGTCTTTCAATTGTTTCTTTATTCACCTTAGACGTGAAAGATGGATACTTCGAAAATCCGTGTCATTTTTTAATACGATTTCCGACGCGGAAAAGCTGTGTTTGCCGAACTTCAAGCAATGAAGGCAAAACTGGCAGTGAAACAGCCCCGACTCGTGAATCAATCTTTACCACTATTGCTCCATGATAACGCGGATGTGTGACTTCACACTGCACAAGAAACTTACAGAAAACTTTACAGGAGGTGTAGTTAGAAACTATGGGTCATGCCCCGTACTCGCGAGACCTTGCTCTAACGGACTATCAATTTTTTCGTGATGTATACAATTTCTCCGTGATAAAAAAAACCCAGGAGGCAGTACAAAATGCTTTCACCCAGTTTGTCGAATCCAGATCCCCAGAGTTCTATCGTAAAGGCATAAATGAACTTCCGTTTAGATGGCAGAAATGTATAGATAATGAGGGTAAATATTTTGATTAAATAAATGTGTTACATCTTAGAAAAAAACGAGTTTCAATTTTTCAGTTCAAATCGGCAATTTCATACTTTATCAATGGTGCTTATACTGTTGTTCAAAAACTCTCTAAACTAAACTAAAAATCACTAAAACATTGTTTAGTCCTGTTAAAAACATTTCGTGTTCTGAAAACATAGTAGTTGACCAGACTAAACTAATTTTTAGTGATTTTTAGTTTAGTTTAGAGAGTTTTTTCATCTCATCATCATCATCAAACTATTAGAGCTAAATAGTTTATATGCTTATGTTTGTGTCTAAACGCAATTTTCTCTGTAACTATTAGTGACATTTTTATTATTTTGTATTGAATAGAGCGTTTATTAAGGAGTAATATAAGTTATACTGTCGTGTGGTGACGGGTTAAGAATACAGAGTGTCACCACCCCTATTCATCCCGTGGGTGTTGTAAGAGCCGACTGAGGGAGCAAACTACGCCGGACAACAGCACGGCAAAGAGAAGGAAAACTTGAAACAAACCCTATATCAACCCGTCTGGCCAGCGGGGTATAGTAGGCCAAAATCTCCTTTCTAAGGAGAGGCTTATGTCCAGCAGTGGACTACTAAAGGCTGTTGATGATAAGCTATACACCATCACCCTACGACTCTTAGGAGAAGACCAGTGACTATAAACGTAGGGGAAACCGTAGTCATTTACTACCATTGTTATAAAAAAAAAATTACAACACAGTGACGTCATAATCCAAAAGTACAATGTACGCCAAACCTAGAGTGATTAAGGTTAACAATGGTTACACGAAACTAACCATCAGTCATTCTTCGCTGGGCAATTTGTACAATGACCGGGTAAGATGTAACTGAACTATACATTATTTGCATATCACTCTGAACTCTGTTTTTATAGCCCTAAGGTAGCAAACATTAGCAAACTTCAGTAGAGTACAGATACTTTCTCTGAAGGACGAATGTGATTCGAGCAAATCTGTTTTGTGCTTTTTTTTAGTAGAACGGCCGTGGGGTGGTTATTTCGGACTCGAACCTACTAAAATACCGTCTCTGGTACCAGTAGCCGGTAACCAGGTGTAACCTAAGCAGGAAATTCCTGGTACTCCGAAACCATAACAGATTTAAATTATTTACGAAAATTTTATGACAATTACAATCAATCAAAATAATACAATAAATAGGACAGACAGACAATAGCACGATAAGAGTTCGTAATAAAACTAATAAAAGAAATTTAACAGTCATCAATTAAGTTACGATATCCATTGACAAATTTAATGCGAAGCCGTAATGATATCAACGAACAAAAGCAGCATTGTATAGATGACAAAGTTGTCGACTCACTTGTAATTCGTTATGAAAACAATAGCGTGGTATGAGGGTAACGGCATGTTACCCGGTTCACGAAGCGTGTTTCTGTATTAAAAAAACATTTTTGGAGACGAAAAAGTTATCCATACTAATATTTTAAATGCGAAAGTGTGTCTGTGTGCCTGTCTGCTACTTTTCATGCATAAACATCTGAACCGATTTAGATCAAGGTATGGAGATAGTCCGAGTCCCGGGAAAGGACATAAGGTAGTTTTTAGCCCAGAAATCATCCTTCAAGGGGGCGAAAAGGGGGGTGAAAGTTTGTATAGGGAATCAATAACCGCGGAATATTCGGATCAAACCAATAGTTCAGGAGATTACCGCGTTCAACGAAACAAACTAGCAAACTCCTCAGGTTTTTAATATGAATATAGATATGACAAATAAAAATATTCTGGTTATTACTCTGTGTCTTAACCTATAGTTTTAAATAATTGCTGGTCAATTTTATGAGACAAGTATATTGAATATAAATTAAAACACTCATGAATATATTCATCACTTTTTGTGGATCACACACAAATCCAATATAAATAACTGTGATTTCAATATTTAGCTAATAATAATAAATAGGTTTGAAATTAAATGTTATAAATTTGTACCTACATCGTGCTTATTACTTTCACTGGTAACAAATTTAAACAATATCTTATATAAATTTAGGAAGACGGCGAGAGCTACAAAATTGTTTTAATACAAATCATATTTAACTAATAACAGTCACAACTAACAAATTAACCGAGCTTTATTATATTAAATAATACTTAAATTATATCAAAAGAAACATTATTTATTATATTTACATAGTGACAATAAATATACAGGTGATTTCTTGATTTATTTATAGTTCTACAAATTAAGTCTTATGAAAATTAAGTAAATTGTTTATTTTGTTAAATGAAAAAAGTTTTTTTTTTATGTAGAAATACACTCCATTGGATAGATAGAAAAACAAATATCCCAATTGACCTGTATCTATTATAAGGCTACTAGATTTTTGTGCCGCTTCATAGTCGCTGTCGATAGGGTTGCCAAAATTTAATATAAGCTCACTTTACGCAACGGAAATTAAAGGTAATATAGGTCAAAGTAATCATATGTAGTGACCGAGGGACAACCTTGGCGGTTAACTGGACTTTTTCGCATGATTAACTGGATTCAGATCGCGTTGTGTAGGAATATTTGAGATTGCCTACGGCTTTGTATACATCAATGTATGTTTTGTCAACTAAGTCTGGTATCCTTTAGAAAATCAAGCTTTTTCTTAAATAAAATTTACCGTATGTCTTTTTCAGAATTCCTGACAATACGTATGCATTTTTTTCCCGATGATCAGTTGAGAACTTTTTTTAATAAAAAAAACTTTAATCCAAATCAGCTCCTCCGTTTAGGAACTATGATGTTACAGATAGACACACAGCCACTATATGCACATTTAACTTATAACACCTGGCTGGCCTGTTGATAGTGGGTTCAATTCCCCAGGAAGATATCGATGAGCACGATAATTTTTTCTACAATTTATCTACGAGGATTAAATGTATGTACTATATTTAGAAAAATATAAGTACTAAAAATAAGAAAAAAATATACTAGGCCCAAAATCGATCTAAGTGGCATGCAATGGGAGAGGCCTATGTCCAGCAGTGGACTGCGATAGGCTGATGATGATGATGATGAAGTACTAGCAATTGCCCGCGGCTTCACTTGGCCGATTATTTTTTATTTCGTGTTCTTTACTTTAAAAATGACAAATTTCCATACCTTATTTTATCACCTTCGATGTGCTTGTGACGAAGTTTTGCGCTTACATATATTTCGGGGATTCAATATTCCGCCGAGGACACTTTGGTTACAGCCCATGGGGTTAACTTTTAAGAGGCGGCGCGCCTGGCTACCAGGGAAGTACTCTCTGGTAATCAAGTGCATTGTGGCGCTGGGCTTATGGATGGCCCTGGATAAGACAAGGCCTCTCAAGGGCTCAATTTGGGGGACCCAGCGTCACGACAAGACGGCTGTACACGGGGGTTGTCCGGTCAATGGCACTGTACGGTGCACCAGTGTGTACGGCGGCTGTGACCGCCCAGAATAGGAGGCACTGCTGGCGCCCTTAGACGGTATTGGCAGTTAAAGCCATACGTGGGAACCGTAACGGACGACAGAGGCTGCACAAGCGTTGGCTGGAAAACCCCCGTGAAATTTGGCGGCAGAAGTGCTCGCCGAAGTTTATCGGCAGACGGCAGTCGGCCCCCGCCCGAAGAAGTATGCGAAGTCGTAGGTCCTTTCCGGGCATTCTGCACTCGGTCGTTAGGAGGGAATTGATCCTGTCATCACTGCGATTGCAGTAAGGACTTAGCTCAGCACACGCTGGAAATTTGCCCGGCTTGCAATGGGATGCAGTGCAAAACATTGTGGAAACAACGCTCACTTTTAGAAATCTACTAAAAGTTTAATTATAGTTGGACATTTAGATGCAACTCTTTCGTTTAAGAATGAATTTGAAAAAACATTTTTACACTTTGATAGAAATAAGTAGGAACGTTTTTACAGTCAGAAAGCGTTGGGGCGCGGTCCCGTAGCATTTGCCACTCTTGCTACGTGGGTAATTTGCCACTGAATAACACCCATTCGTTTTGCGACCTGGATTAATAAAGTTGCTATCGGTTCTAAAGCCTAGGATTGTAGAGCGTCCAGGCATCCGGATGGTAAGTCTTCATACACTAGAGCACCAGCAATGATAACTGAAAGTTGTAGGCCTCTAGGTATATCGCCTCTATCAATGTCTGTCAACTGTTAGAGCCCTAAATGTGAAAATACACACTTCTGTCGGTATTGTTGTCGGTTCCGGCTTATTATAAATTAGAATTCGTTTCGAAAACACATGCGCAGTAGGAAGTGATCAATTAAACTACTATGCCACCTGTGTAGTCAAAATTTTAAGTCCACATTTTTAAATAAAATGTTATCATACACGAATTGGCACTAATTACAACTCAATTTGAAATCACGTACCATATCTACTTTACTAGTAAGTTACTTACCCGCCGTTGCTTTGAGCAGATAGATCTGAACCATTCCCATCAGCCATTTTCTTCTCTATTACCATCATTCCAACTGCTGGTGTGGACACATTAGAACTTTGAACTTCGACTTCACCATCACCCTTCACAAGAGTTTCGTTAACTTTTTCCGCTGACGTCGCACCATCATCTTTCTTTCTTTCATTGACAACTGTAATTATAGGTTCTATTATATCTTTCTTTACTTGTGTAGTTTTTTCGGGAACTTCTTTGACACTGTCTGGAACATCTTTGGGTTCTTCAACGGGAGTTATGATGCTATCTACAATCTTTGTTGCTTCTGTGCGAATTTCTTCTGACATTTTCTCATTTTGTTTCACAAGTTGATCTTTTATCTCTGTGAGTTTAGTCGCTGCTTCGTCTTTCGCTTCTTTGACATCCGCTTTTGTCTTATCAGCTACTTCTTTTAATGATTTTGTTTTTTCAGCAATCTCTTTTGCGGCGTTTTTCAACTCTCTGGATTTGGCAGATGCTGTTAGAATATTTTCTGGGGACACTTCGGGTTCTTTTAAAATAGCTTCTATTTTCTGTTTTGCACGTTCTACCTGTGGATCGTCCAACATATGGGGTAGCAAAGGTCTTAATTTTATATCGCCATCAAATATAGGTTTATATTTAATTTCGTGCCTATGTTTATCGTGAATAATATTTTTGTCATGAACAGTATTTTTATCGTGAGCGATACTTTTATCATGAAGAGTATTTTTATCATGAGCGGCATTTTTATCATGAACAATATTTTTATCAGTAGACTCTTTGTCATGAGTATTAATTTTATCATGAGTGGTTTTAGGATGTTTTGGGGGTTTCTTTTCATCATGTTTATCGTCTTCGTTTATTTTCTTCTGCTCATGTTTTTTATGCTCTTTTTCCTTAGGTTTTTCTTTCTCGGATTTCCCAACTTCTGATGTTTCTTCTTTACCAACTAGTGAGTCTTTAGAACTAAGCCTCTCAAATATACCTTTTTCTCTTGCCTTTTCAAAGGCAGCGGGTAATTGGTTTGTTACTTTAGTTACAACTTCAAGGGGCTGTGATGTTATCGCGGCTGTTGTCATTGATATAATATTTTTTTTCGTTAGTATCACAAGTTCGTTTTTGTCGTTTGTAATTTTATCGTATTGCGTCTCGTTGTCTTGTTTGGGTACTTCCAGTAGGTCAGTCATTGATTCTATACTTTGTGTATTTTTATTTTCCATTTTACTCTTTCTGGTTTCAGTCGTACCTTTTTTAACATTTTTCACAGAGTCTCTTCGGCTAACTTCATTAATTTTATTTATAGATTGAGATTTTTCTGATAAATTTTTAATACTATTAACCTTCTTTAGAGGTGGCTTTTCGTTCAAACTTTTTGTGCTTGGAGTTCTTACAATGCTTTTCACACTGTTTGTTCGACTTATGGGTTTTTTTGGTTCTGGTTTCGCAACCGGCGGTTTCTGAGTACTTTTTACGCTGGGTACTCGGTTAACTGGTTTTGTGGTTGAAGTACCTGGTTTTGTGACAGGTTTAGTTTTACGTTGATTTGGTTTCTCAGGACTGGGTTCTCTGCTGGCAGTTCTGCTGGGCTGTCTAGAATTTATTCTAGATGTAGCAGGTGTATTACCAGCAGTTTTTGCATTTTTTCTTGGCATTGGAATCGGTTTTACTGACGTTTTAGCCGAATTTGGCTTTAAATCATCAATCGGACTTTTATTTGGCGTACCGACTATTGGAGACAAACGTTTAGTACTGAGGGCCTTATTTACAGGTGGTGGTCCTCCTCTACCGGGAGAAATGGGTGGTTTTCCTTTAATGTGTGATGGAGATATGTTTAAATTTTGAGTGCTTTTACTAGCTCTTTTATCATGAACTTGGCTCCCAATCCTAATAGTTTCATGTATACTGCTTGCGCTGCTTGATATAAATCTTTGATTTTTATTCAGACTGATTTCCGAAGGTTTTCTGGAAATATATATATCACGTTTACTGCTAGGCCGTGATGGCGACTCTGAACTCTGGCGTTGAGGTATTTTCGTGTTTTTTGGTGAGCCGTCCTGCGACTGAGGTTGAGATTTTGAGACAGTTCGTACTCTAGATCTGTGCGCTACAGGTTTTTTCATTCCATCATCACCATTTATAATCTCCCGGCTGCCAGCGGGTATGTTTTCATAATGTAATATTGCAGATGGGGAGTTAGACCTTGATCTTAAATGAAGTTTACTTGGCGAGTTACTTCTGGAATTTGCTTTTGATCCTACAGAACTCTTAGAACCAAATTTACTCCTCTCTAGTAATCCCATTTCCTTGAGGATAGCCTCTTCTTCTTCTAATCTCTTCTTTTCTGCCTCAGCCTCATTTTTTTCTCTATTCAGTTCGCTTAGTTCTCTTACTCCTTCAATGTTTTCCTTCACAAAGTTTCTAGGAGAATGAAGCCTGGGCAATATATGTAAAGGTAATGGAAGGGTGGCCGTTTGGGCCATCTTGTCAATCCTGGACAAAGAGTTAGTTCTTCTTCTGGGAGGCGAGTTAGCTCTTGAGTTTGTTGTGGAAGTTTTTGGGGTGTTGTGTCTGGATGTCTCTGCCCGAAAACCGCTACCTGAAGTAGATAGAAAAACAGATTATAATAATATTAACTAACATCTTCACACATCACACGTAACACGAACACGGCCGTCTGATTCCAAGTACCAATTACCTGTACTATGGTAACCAGACTGCTGATATTCATACTTATTTATTTCTAAATACATACATATCATAGATGAATTAAATCCAGATACAGAGCAAATGATCGTGCTCATCACACAATTATTTATCCTGGGTGGAAATCGAACCTACGACCTTCGGCCTAGGAGTCAGTGTCACTAACCACTAGACCAACAGGACTGTCAACATTGTTAACATTGTACAGAATACATATGAAATGATGACCATTACATTTTATTTCACAGATTAGGAATGATTTTTTTTATATAGTGTTGAGATTTGTCTTCAGTTTGAACGTTTTATAAACTTAGTAGAGATCCTGGCGGTCGGTCGATCTTTGACTATTTTATATTTTATTTTGCATATTTTCTTTCCAATGAAAGAAAACATATCAGTTTTTTTTTGAAAAAGACAACTGCCGCATTAGGAATACATCCTGTGTCGCGGGAGACTTTACAAACATACATGAAACGGACACAAAGAACACCCAGACTCAGAACAACAATTTGTGGATCACACAAAGTGTCGTCCCAGGTGGATTAATTTAAACTGGTCAATACCAGTATAAATTAAACTGATATGTACAGAATAGATTTTTCAGTCTAAATATATAGTGGTTCTCTGTAGTTTTATTTGTTTAATTTTCAACTTTATTTGCTTTAAAAAAAAATATATATATATATTCTACCTATATTCTACCACATACACACAACGCCATCTAGTCCCAAACTAAGCAGAGCTTGTACTATGGGTACAAGACAACTGATATAAATACATATATACTTTTTTTTTGTAAATACATACATATTATACATAGAAACACCCAGACCAAATCAAACATCAAATGTTCATGCACACAAATGTTTGACTTGAGCGGGAATCGAACCCGCGACCTTTGGAATAGCAGTCCGTTACACAAACCACTACGCCATCCAATCGTATGAAGTGTTAATAACAACGAATATTTTTTAAACTGCTACTGATACAGTAATAATAATTACCTCTAAACGGCGATACCCTTCGTGCCCTGATGTCAACAGGCAGCGACCTAGGGCTGGTCGGCCTTGATATCGGTGCCTCCGCGAGGATCGCGAACGATGATTCTTTCTTTCGTTTCGGCGTGGGCACCAAACTGTGGGAGATAAAAATAGAAGACATCAGATTGGCACGTTCAAAATAAGAAGACTAGTGAATAATTTTTGACGTAGTTTCTTTTCAGAACACAAGTTACAAAAGGAACTTGTTAACCCAGAACTTTACTGGAAGAAGAAGGAAGAGAGGTACTACTGCTCGTGATTAATTATGTTATTTTGTACATAAATTACGTTATTAAGTGCATTAACAATAACTTCACTTCAGACTTGCAAGTTCCTTTTAAGTACAAAGGTCAACTCTGATTCGAAAAATATGCGAACACTTATAAATGTCACATCACATCATCAACAGCCTTTAATAGTCCAATGCTGGACATAAGCCTCTCCTTAGAAAGGAGATTTTGGCCTACTATACCACGCTGGCCAGACGGGTTGGTATAGGGTTTGTGTCAAGTTTTCCTTCTGCAGTGCTGTTGTCCTGCATAGTTTGATCACTCGATGAATAGGGGTTTTGATATTTCGTGTGTTATATCAAATTATATAGGCTATTAAATTTTCCAAAAATAAAAACTCAAGAATTGGAGTAAGAAAAATAGATGGGGTAAGGGAACTAGAGTACATCGCATCTTGTATCTTAAAGGGGGTGATGAGGCCCCGGTAACTGAAAAACAACGAAAAAATTACTTAACATCTGTTTTTTGTAAGGCCATGGTTAGTAATAACGTACTTCTTAATTGGGTTTAGTCCACGTTCGACCCCCACTATCTCTACCCCCATCCATGTTGAACCTCTAAATGTTGTCCATATTCAATCCCCAGAGGTAGTTGGTAATGCTTGCCAAACGAACCACGTCCAAAATTCAAGCAACAACAATTTATTTTTGTGTTTTGCTAGTTTTATTAGCAAATAGTTTGATTGATGAACATGATAATATGCACAGAATACATACATCAAAGCATAAAATAAACGACTGTCAAAATTTTGTAATCGTCCTTGCGAAGAGACAATTGGACCGATTCTAACGAGTTCTTGCGATACAAATTTGTTTATTATTTACGACGATAAAAACATGTGTGTTTATGTTCATGAACATTGAATGGGTTCATATTGTTTTGTGTTATGCTTCTTGCGTGAGAAGTGAGGTGGCTTTGCTCTTTAATAAACTAGGGTATTGATAAAAATAATTTCTAGACCTGAGCTACGTTTTTTTAAAACCAGTTGCACTCCGTGAGTGCCGACGGAACTGAAAACACAGAGTAGCTGTACCTCCTCTGTGTTTTCAGTTACCGAAACCTCTGTAGGTGTCGGGAACGGTAACAGTGTCGCGAGTAACCATCTAAAACAATGCCAAACGCGCCTAAAGAAGTTTTCATATCTATATACACAGAGGTGTCGGTAATGGTAACAGTGTCGCGAGATTAATGGTTTCTTCCCAGCAGAAAACAAAAATATTGTAGAAAATGTTTGTTGTTCAAAAATGCCCAACGCGCCTAAAGAAGTTTTCACTTCAAAAATATATACAGTAGAACATGGAACCTCCTCCTATTTTGTAGTCAGTTAAAAATATAGTAGAGTTGCCTGGTGGTCGAATTTCAACCATTTGTATAATGTTATCTGTATAATGCTGCAAACGTCGATAATAACATTTACCCACTAACGGCACGTAGGGTCAAAGCAATAATTGCAGGCTGGCTGAAAGGCTTAAATTACGAGATTGTAGAAAAAATCGTGAACCACCAAAGATGTAAATAGCTCTAACATATAACATACTCACGCTCATCTACAACGGTCACATACACACACACACACACGTGTGTGTGTGTGTGGGTGTGTGTATGTGTGTGTACACATACACACACCCTCTCACGCACACACAACACACATACACGCAGGCATGCACACACGTATGTAAACCCCCGCTTATAGTCAACAAAGAGATTGTTGTTATTTAATAATGTAAATGAATTTAATCCAGTAGATTATATTAATTAATTGAATTATATACTTTTTTTTTTCCTACTATTTTTTAACTTTATAATCTGATTTCAAAAATTGTAGTCAGCTATACAATTATAAATTGAGTTACCCAGGGTGGAAGCCGCTGACGACTGTAACACAATTTACATTAGTACGGTCGTCAACGACGAACTCTTAAATCATTGAATGTATTTGTTTTATTAAATTTGTAATTTGTATAATTTGTATGTAATTGTTTGTCAAATAAATGAAATAAAATGAAATATTCTGTATGTCACGGTTAATTAAAAGAAATTATTCTACGAATTTAGAATGTATTGTTTTATTTCATCTATACCTAAATATAAAATTTATTGACATGACTGACGGACTGACTTCACATCAACAGCCTTTACTAGTCCACTGCTGGACATAGGCCTCTCCTTAGAAAGGAGGTTTTGGCCTACTGTACTACGCTGGCCAGACAGGTTGACTTATCAGAGCCTAAAACGCTGGGGCTGCAAACTTGAAATGGCCGCTGATCCTTTTTAGTTGTAAGGACCCACTGACCCACTTCTCATTTAGTTAGAAACATGAAATTAGTCATAATCACGTGAAAGAACCGGCGGGCAATAACTAGTATACGAATATGACTTGACTTGTATGATATGTATGTATTTACAACAAAATAAAGTATATATGTATTTTTATCAGTTGTCTGGTACTCATAATACAAGCTTTGCTTAGTTTGGGACTAGATGGCGTTGTGTGAATTTGGTAGAATATTATTATTATTTTTATTGTCACTGTATGTCCTGTGACAGATCTAAATATAATGGAGCAATGTCGTTTTATGTTGCCGTTCTAATATAACTTTTAACTTAATACGACAAATTGTTTAAACAAATGTAGATTTCTGCACGTCTTCTACATAATATAAACATTAAATGTTAAAAATATGAAATGCTTTCGTGCTGTCAAAATATTGTGGTGACTTTAACATACAGTGTGAAACATATTACAGCGCCATCTAACGGAGAAACACCGAACTACGGAGTAACTGCTAATCCTATATAGCAGTATGAATAATTCTCACGCCGATTAGAATATATACAACTTCTCAACATCAACCGTTGGACCACGGCCTGCCAGGCATGATCCCCTCGCATGGTCGGAGGATCCCTTTGTGTTAGTGGGACATGACACCCATTCCTCCACAACACCATCATGAGTTACAAAAGTCTTCACAATTGTAGGCTTTTGTAACATGAGAAGTTAAAATATATACTGTATCGTTATGTAGGTAGCCTTTTTTTCATTATATCATATGTTATTTAACAATTTTAGTATTTCGTACTTCTCCTACATGTAAATATAAAGTATTCTAATTATATGATATGCTTCCGTGTGCCATGTTTAGTCGCTAACCAAAAGGTGCAAAAAACTTCGCTAGTTAATATGTAGGTTTATTTGCAAGCAAAAGAGATTTTTTTTTCAGGTTATCAGACTTTTAATAAAAAAAACAGATAAAGTAATGTTCCTTCTTTATTGTGTTTATTCTTGAATTTAAAAAATATGACTTCTTACGGTTTTTATATTAATTAAACATAAGACGGTTCTACTCACATGTATATTTAGGAAACGTCAGACTAGTTTCAAAAGTAAAGGGGTTCTTTTTTATTCTTAGTTTCCTATGTATCCTAATTATCCGAATTTTTAGAATTAACTGTTTTTCCAAATATTTATTCAAGGAAAGCACCTTACGTGACACTTTAGAACACATTTTTTATACGCTAAGAGTTACGAAACCTTTCCTACAGAACACTAAAAAGCCTAAACACCAAATACTTTCAAGAGGATCTATCTTGAAATTATTTTGACCAAAACCGGTCTTAAACAGAATTCACAGCCACAGTACCACCGATTATACTATTTAAACACTTTGTTACGCAATGTTTGATCTTTACTCACGAACTATTGTATGTAAATATGTCGAATACGCAATACGCGATTACGAACTACGAAAGTGAAATAGATATGTAGATGGTGGTCCAGTGTGCTTCCGGCCAGTGTGTTCTCACCGAGACGCTGTGCATTCTACAAGCGAACAGTTTGAAATGTAAACGACTTCGGAAAGAACTTGGTGGAATGTATTAGTAATTTTTGTTTAAATGTGAATATTACAATTGTTTTTGTTTACATTTTAAGGAGCAAAAATTTATCATAATAAATAACTTGACACATCTTACACACGGCCGAACCAGTCAGAACCTGTACTATGGCAACCAGACTACTGATAAACATTCTAATATATCAATAAATACATACATTTAATAGATAAATTACCTACGCCCAGACGCAGATAAGATTATCGTGTACACAATTATTTTTCCTCGGTGGGAATCGAATCCACAACCTCTGGTTTAGCAGTCAGAACTAGACCAACCAGTCAGTATTTCTGACATGTCTGTTCTCTGCGGAAGCCGGATCGCACATATATATTATTAAAAGTTTGCAAGCATAAAAAATAATTCAATCAATCACTTCGCAAGTAAATCAAAAGAAACGGTTGCAATGGTTTAAGTTCGATTTCTATATTGGACAAAAATTGGTCTGATGTTGTGATCTAATCTTTGTATTTGTTTCTACAAATATAAAGAGCCTGCAGAACAGGAATTATTCCTAGGGCGCGAGTTCTCTTTTAAACAAAGTAACTACAAATAATATTAGTATCTATATCTTCAATATATCTAAATATATTTTGCACATTGTATTTATTTGAATCACATCATCACATCAACAGCCTTTACTAGTCCACTGCTGGACATAGGCCTCTCCTTAGAAAGGAGGTTTTGGCCTAGGCCTTCCTCGCTGGCCAGACGGGTTGGTATAGGGTTTGTGTCAAGTTTTCCTCCTCTTTGCAGTGCTGTCGTCCTGCGTAGTTTGTTCCCTTAGTCGGCTCTTACGACACCCACGGGATAAATAGGGGTGGTGACACTCCGTATTCTTAATCCGTCACCACACGTTATTTGAATATAAATGGATATTTAACTGTATTTCTTTTTTTTTGAGACAACTTTTTTAAGCGTGGGAGAGCCATGCTTCGGC